TTATAAGGGTTTTTTTCCTGCATTTTCGATCCCCATTTAATCGATTCATAAATCAATTAATTACTGTCACGAGACCTGAGGGCAGCAGGAAATTGGGTTCAAATTAAAAAGAAAAGGAGGCAATTTGTTTTAAGATTGAAAGTTGAATGTTCAATCGAAGTTTAATCAGAAGTGACCCATTATTTGAAAAGCGGAACGTCAATGTCTTTGTAATTTCACAGAATGCTTCATTAAATGAGGATTGAAAAGATGAGGTTAACTGATCATTCCAAAAGGAAGAGGAGACAAAGGAGGGGTTTGGAAGCCCGTTTCCAAATACATGTTATGTTTGTTCATTTTCCTTCTGAAGATTTCATAGATAAACCAAATTGTTACACTGGGAATTCAAGGATTATTGGCATGGTCCTTTCTAGATTTTACAGATTATATGATAAAAACTTAGCTTCATATGGAAGAGCAAATGTTCTTAATCCGTTTGGATAGCAATGTACCTAAAGAACATTTTACAAAAGGCAATAAAGAGCAAGAAGAAAATTTTCAAAGGCATGGCTGGAAGTTAATGCCTCCTAAATTTTAAGGTGTCTCACAGTGCTCTGACTTTGAAAAAGTTTTTTTCCATAAATTGATATAATCTTGAGAGCTTTCAGCTGCACAACATGTGGAGCTCTGCCCGTTGTACAACGTGAGGGCGATGCTAGTGTCTGACTAGAAATCAGAGGAATTTTGTTTAGGAAGTGAGTGTGAGAGAGTACGAGGATAGCAACTGTAGCTGTACCTCCTACAGCATGTGAAAAACAGAAAGGAGCAATAGAGTTGGGTTTAGTGCTCTTTAGATTAACATGTCCTTTTCTTTTTTAGTGTGTATTTGCTAGAAATTTGCTTAGTAAATTGCTGTTAAAAAAAGCCCCAACGCTCACTTGTTATTGTGAGCTTGCTGAAAGAATAAATGATGAGCCTGATTCAGTTTCTCGCTGTTGGGAAGTGTTGCTCTTGCTGTTAAATGCTGAGAGGGACTCTTGAAACATCATCTAGACTCTGATCTAGCCCTGGGATAAAGAGTGGGCTTCTGTTGCTTGGAAAGTTCATGCAGCTTTCTCTGATGAGCCTAGTGCTTGAAAGACAATAAAAAGCAAGAGAAACAGAATGTTTGCCTTTCGAGTAGTTCTTTACGGAGGTGTCTTTTATGAAAAAAGAAAAAGGGAACAACAACTGTTTTAAACGTTTCCCTTCGTAAGTGCAGAGTGAGACATTTCAGATGTCGGCGAGTTATTTCCGATAGTAATCTTGGATTAACTGTTTGCAAGTGTTATCTGTCAGCACACACACAGAGAATAATAAATGTTATCTGTAAGTACGGACAAATATATAAAATTGTAGTCATTTGTTTTCTTTCATGTGCACTCCATTAGAAAAAGCTTTGTTTTCTGGGCAGAAAACTGAATCATGCAAGAATACTCAAGCCTGCTTAAAGCAGTGATTCTTTTCAAGATCTTAGCAAGCTGGGTCTTGATTCCATCATGAGCAAAATGACTTGATACTTGTGATGACAAAATGCCTTTTGATTTATTTGCCGATCGTTGCTTATTTATGTTGTGTTCCTTCAAAAGACAGCAGTTGAGGGAGTAGCAAGGGGGCTACCTGGACACCTTGCCCAGCTGCTGGGCTCTCAACCAGGCTGGAAGCCTTTGGAAGGAGGGTTGATTCCTCACTGGCTTTCAGGGAAGGAACATAGTCATCTGGGAGATGTAAATAGGCTGGTGTGAGATGGGGACAGTAATAAAAACCCAAACTTTTCGATACAGAAGGGACTGATGAGCAGAGCAGGGAGCATATTCATAGTCTGACCACAAGATGTGTAGGAAACATAACCCCTCTTTTCCTGGGCATCCTGGCAGGGGTTGTTGCAAACTGAAAAGTCACTGAAGGGTTGCTGGGCTGGGGAAGAACGTTAACTCCTTGAGCAAAGAAACAACAGGCAGAAGTTATTTACAAAGTGGTTTTTATTTTGTTTTACTTTTGCTTTTTAATAAAGGCTGTTGTCCTGGATTTAGTTCTCATAAAACCTGGTGTTAAAGGAAAATAAAGTTTGTCTTTGGAGGTGTTTGCCTCCAGGAAGATATGGGGATTGATCCACACCAAAGCTCTAGCAGATTTAGGGTTCGATCCCACCAGTCACTTCTGTAATTCAAACGCTTATTTCTTTCCATTTAAGCTGTGTAAGAGGAGTGAGATCTTCTGCTCCATGAAGGCACCTAAATTAGGAGAATGGGTAGGAATGTTTACTTTCAATGTTTGTATCTCTCCCCAGTGAGTGTAGGATGACTAGAATCCTAACGGGTGCTCCGCAGGTATATGGGAAAGAAGCTGATTAAATGGGGTTTCCTGCCTGTACGGGCAGCTCATCTATCAAGTTTTAGATTCTAGATAAAGAATATTTGTCTAGATGGAGGGATAATCTGATCTCGTGTAGCAAATCTAATTCAGTAATCATTCCCTTCACTGACTCGCAGTAAGGTACTCAAAAATGAATATAAATAATGTAATTCTTTTTAAGTTATTGATTGCAGTTATGTGAATGATGATGAACAGCATCAGCACCACCGTAGCAGGATGTGTGTTCCTCAACCTCCTCCCAGTCAGATGACATGGCTCTGTAAACTAGTGTGCAAATTTAAAACAAAGATGAACAGGTGTTTTAAATTAATCTTGATGTGTATATTTTGTCTTCATAATAAATGATTTTGTGCATCTTCTCCCTGAGATCTAAAAATTAAAAAAAAAAAACAAAAAGTTTTCTGAAGGAAGAACAACTTCATTTATTATTCTGGTACTTCTGTAGGAAATTACACAACACAGAGATGCATCACTGAACACAGAAATTTATATGAGTTGGTGCTAATTATATATATTCTTATTTTTTTTAAAGAAAGTGGTGGGAGCTTACTACCAGAAATCATCTTCTAGAAATGTATGGCAATACTGATAGCATATTGATCATGGAGCCATTAATTTGTAAAAAAAAATAATTTACAAGCTTACTAGCGATGTAAGATACCTTTTTGAGACATACCTTTCACTGAGTTTTCTTAAACAAGTCTATGAGACGTGTCACACTGGTCAAAGCAGCTCAATTTGAATGAAGTGAATGTAGTAGCTCAGGAGGTGGCTCGAGCATCTTTAGGGAACTGTGCCGAAGTTGAGGAGTTTTGAGCAGAACATGTTGGTATATCACATTGCTGATGTCATTATTATGCATCTCTGTCCCATGCTTGCTTGGGGAAGAGATATAATGGTGCTGTGCCCAGGTACTTACTATCTCTTGGATCCAGATGATGTCCTGCATTGTTTAGTACAAACATAATTCTGATTTAACAGGCGTGTATCGGATGCCACCGTTTTATACCCCATGTGTACATGAGTAAGATACTTTATATTGTTTGTTTCGAGGAAGAGAGTAGGTTTTTTTTCTCGTAACTTTATGGCTGTTGAAGTATGTGTTGGGCATCATTGCCAGGTTTAATGCCCCCAGAAATGGGCTTCACTTCTTTTGAGTTTGCTTCTTTATAACTTGTTTTATTCGAATTGAAGTTGACAGCTCTTTTAGCTAAAGAATTCTTTTTCTGCAGTCTACGTATGGCTTAGAACCCAGCATGTGAAAGAGCAAAGCTCAGTCACACAACAAGAGGTTGTACCAGCCAGAACAAAGCATTTAAATTGTTTGTCTCTCTCCTTTGCTCACTCCCTGATGTTTAAAACAATAAACCCTACTGAGTGTTTTCAGCAACTGAAAAGGTAGTGCTATGCCAACCTTACAAATCAATCCTGTTAAACCTCAGATAAGTTTTAATATTTTTTAACCACAGCTTTATTTGGCCACTGTCAGCGTGTAATCTCTGAACTCAAATAACTTTATGACTGTTGAAGAATGCGTTGGGCATCATTACCAGGTTTAATGCCCCTAGAAAGGGGCTGCACTTCTTCTGAGTACTGAGTATGAGTCTTTTTTAGAGAATAAGGACAGAAGCTATTGTAGATCAGTGTATATCAAGAGGAGGAAACTGAAGAAATATTAGTCTACTAGACATGGGAAGCTGGTATTTGAAAAGGGCATGTTTACAGAATATTGTCAATATTGTCTCACAGTTTGGGAAATAATCAGAACCAGAAAAATTATTCGTCTTAAATACAGGACCCCAGGCTTCCGTGAGTTTTATTTGGAATGTGATCTGAAAAGACTCTAGACGTCTTTCAAAATTATTTTCACAGGGATGTAATTGTAGTATAATCTCACAGTGATTTAGGCATTTCGGAGCCAGGAACATTGTCAGCTTCTTATTGCAGCTAGTACTATTTTATAGGTGAATTCATAGAATATCAAATTGTACTTGGGATTAGGGTGCTTTCTTTATTGGGTCCTATGCAAAGCTCCAGAACTAGCATATAGAAAATGTTATGGTTATGAATCTGGCCCAATATATTCATAGAATCATAGAATGGTTAGAGTTGGAAGGGACCTTAAAGATCATCCAGTTCCAACCCCCTGCCATGGGCAGGGACACCTCCCACCAGACCAGGTTGCTCAAAGCCCCATCCAGCCTGGCCTGTTTGCAGAAGATAAAAGTATATTTTGATGATCGTATATACATTTCTTCTGAAGACTACATCATAACGTATTTAATAAAATGTCTGATTGCTGCCTGGCTCCACAATGAAATCTGTGTGGATATTTTCTCTCCCTCTAGGCAAAGTTTTTAACTGCTTTTGGGAAGCATACTTACAAAGTCAACTGCCATTCCAGAAACAAAGTCATAAGACTTAAGGTTTTTTGTCTGTTTCAGGGATTTAGAATCAGTTAATTAGATCAGTGAAATAAGTTTAATAATCAGCAAAACTTAAGAACAATTTGAAGGTTTTTTCAGTCTCTGAAAAAAATCCAATAAGAATTTGAAGGAGGAAAATCAATGTGGAATCCTAAAAAGCATTTTATTTCTTTCTTACAGAATTCGAGCTTTCTCTCCGAAGCTCTTTTTCCTGTACATTCAACAAAAACTGAAGAGCTGGATCCCTCCTTCAGCCTCCACGAGACCATTGCAAAGGTAACAGAAATGGAGATTTCATTTATACCTACTTTCCTTCACATGGCCAAATTTCAGTTCGTTAATAGTTTTGAAAAAGAAACTACTTTTTCCTGTGAATGCTTTGAACGTAGTTAAAATTCGTGAATTTTTTTTTTTATTGAGCTTCACCTTTGGAATCTTCTTTACTGTTACATTGGTCAGTTTGTGGGATCAACACACTTTTTATGTACAAATGCTTCATTTTATGTTTCCATGGTTCGCATTAAACTTACTGTCATGAGTGCAGAGCATTAAGCCCCACCAGATGGCAGGAGTAGCAGGTTTTTTGCTGTCAATTTTGTCAGTGAAGAGGGCTCTCAGAGGGCACCTTCACATCCCAGATCCTTGGGTTTATGGGCTGTCACAGCGATGCTGACATGGGAGGAAAGGGTGGTCATCCCGTGATTCTGGAGAGTGCTCTACAGAGGGGATGCTCCCAAAGTTAATGTGCTCTGACTCCCCTCTTGTCTCTCCAATATAATACTCCCTCCGTGGTTTTTATTAATACAATCAAAAGTTACTCCTGGCTCTAAAGTGCTTTTTCTTCCCTCCGTCCACTCAGCAAGACCTATTTCTACAAAGTCGTGACTACAAATAAGTCCAACTTAATGGGTTTGTACACTTCTTAAATTGGATTTCTTGTAAACCAGAGCTATGTAGACCTCACAAACAGATTTCTTTGTTTATTTGGAGCTACTTCTTTTGGAAAAGCAGCTGCTGTTGAAACTTTTCTTTTTGGCAGCAACAAAAATAAATCCACAAAGATCAGCAATGTGCAGATTTAGCATGTAGACAGATCAGCATCTTTGGCAAAAAAAGAGTGACTGATCTTGGGGATTTTAGGGTGTATTTTGTTTGTTTGTTTGTTTCCTTGGCTTCTGTTTTATAAAAAGAAGCACATACTCCTAGTCATGGGTTTGAAGCTTGGAGGAGTCTGACAGTTAAGAGAGAATCACAAGACAAGAGTCTTCTCTGAAGCCCTTTTAATGGGATCGGTGGGGTTTTATTCCATCCTTGATGACAAAATGGTTCACCAGATTTCTTCCCAAACACTGAGGGAAGTAGGTATGCTGCATAATTAATTTGTGATTTACTAATTAGTGTGTGATGGGCCATGTATGATCCTAATAATCTGTATTTTAGTATTTGCTCTGTAATGTTGACTAGCACAGAAAAATATTTATTAGATAGTTGACTTCAAGCTTTTTGATTCTGTTTAAATCATTACAAATTGTTTAAAGTAGGTTCATTGAGCATTACAATTTTCTTTGATAAAATTTGATGAAGATTGCTCTAGGATATGACTATATCTCCATTTTTCCATTTCCATTCCATTTCCCTATTTTCAGACTGTAGCCTGGGATGCTTTTATAAAGATGAATAGCATAGGCAGAATTACTTGTCATCTTTAGCTTAGCTTAATTGATCTTAAAGTAGTTTCTGAATAGATTGAAAAGAGAAGGTTTTCTAAATTTCATCTATTTACTTTTTTTTATAATTAGATAATGGTGGTGTTACCTCTTGGTTCCTTCCACTCCCCTCCTGAAACTTTTTCTGGGAGTAACTCAGCCAGCCATTGTCCTTCCTTTCTTTCCTTTCTCCTGAAAGTTGGGCTTTGCTTTGCCCTTCCTTTATCCTAATCTCTAAATATGTCCTCTTTATACAGCCCCTGTATTGCTTCTCAATGTGAGCCCTATAAGGGGGAAAAGCTTAATGAAGTTTTACTTCTTTGAACAGACAGATATCAGTTTAGCTTTGGTGAAAACATCTATAATTACTAAAAGAAAGGAAATTCGAATCACATGGAGATGCAAGTCTTTTAAGGAATGCCTGTTCTTCACCATTCCATCGTTGAGCAGCTATCCATGGGCAGTGTATGAGTGCTAACACAGTTCTATGCGTTATATTGTGCACGTGATACGTGATGCTTGCTGCTTCAACAATTTTTGGTTAGTAGTAAAAAGCGGATTATTAAAAATATTTTGTCACATTTATCAGGTACTGCTTGTGCCTGATGGTTGTCTTTGAGCTGGTAGAGTTAAAAATAAATGATAGGGTTTTATTTGAGTGAAGGAGAGAAGTGGATAAAAATACAGAAATATTATATATCCTGAAGCACCATTTCATCTTGTATCTTTGAAAATAGAGTTTTTCTTGAATTTTATAGGCAAGCTAAAGGGAAAAAGCACTTTTTATTTGGACTTCTATATGGCAAAAGCAAGCTGTATTCATGAGACTACAGAAATTCTAATGCAGTTCTCTGAACCTTAAGGTTTGAGTGGTCAAAACTTAGTTTCGTACTGAAGTCTTTAAAGTAAAAATACTACTTGGATGTGGGATTTAAAGGAAATGCCATATTTAATTTAGTTAACTAAGCACTCTTCCTGCTATTCCTTAATCTGAAATCTTTGTATTTTCATTGTGGTACTCTGAATAGATGAGGCCAAGTTAAAAATTAGAAATCTCTAGCTTTATAATAACTTACTCATTTTTACAAAAACAGTGCGTAGTGAGAAGTTAGCTTGTAATTGGAATTTACAGTCCTCAGTTGGAAGTTAATGCCCCTCAACAGGTACCGACCAGTCAGCCGACGGGTGTATGCTCCATTGCCATCACAAGTAAAACAGGTATCATAACTGCTTCAGAAACTGTAACTTCGGATTTCAAAGGACTTTTCACACAAAACTGGCTTTTATGTTAAAAGAAATTAAATACTAAAATATTATAAATTCAACATTTAATCATTTTCATTGGCTTTTTTCCTCAGGAATGGGTTATGAAAATATTTAAAACTAACTTTTTATTCTCATTTGAGACCAAACGTGGTTTTATTAGTCTTTAAATTTTTCACACGATGAAAAATATTCTGACCAGTTTATTCAGATACACATCTGACTATTTTACCACTATTTATTCAGATATCAAATATTCAAATCCTTGTTTACAGTAGAGTGGTACCTAACACTGTTAACCAGCTATAATGGCTTTGAAGACTGAAATCTTTGTATCAATTTTTCCATGATACTATGCTATAGAAGTTCAAATTGTAGGATATTCAAGTTGAATAAAGACCTGTGAGGTTTGGAGATGCAAATCTTGGACAATAAATCCAAAATATTGTAGGTCTCTAGTTGATAGGTTCTGCTCATAGTGTCCGACAATGAGCCTGCCATTTTTTAGGCCAGTGCTTAAATATTGTGGGATGCAGATCAAGAAATTTGCAAAGAATGAGCAGGTAACAGCGGGATGCTTAGGGTTTAATTTGATGAAACTCATTTGCCACTGCAAATGGCTTTGCTTCTGTGGCCACTGAAGCTGGTGGAAAAGCTTACACTGATTTTTTTTGTGGGAAATTATTTGAGGCTCTTCATCTCTCTGAGAGAAACAGGGATTTAATGATTTTTTTTTTTTTTTTCTATCTAAAAGCCTTGATGTTAACATAAATTTTTATGTGAGGTTCAATATAAGAACAAATAACCAGCTAATTGTGGCTTGTGCTCTCTGAAGACAGTAGGTACTTTAGTTTTGTACACGTTTTAAAGGAGGAGATTGCTGAATGTGGTAGGTAAAATGAATGAGAAATTCAGAAGTGCAGTTGTTCAGGAGGTAGATCTGTAATCTGAATTCTGTAGTTTGTCAGAATACTTGTCAGATCAATATATCTTAGATCTTGGTACTGTAAAGGTGGATTTAGGGTAGACATCTCCAAGGCCCAGGCTGATCTGAAAGATTCAGAGAAGAAAGAGAAATATGTAGGCTTCCTAGTGGTGAAGAACCAAGATGTTCATTACAGCAGCATGTTGCAGTACAAAATTTAGTGGTATCTTAAGTGAGATCTGCAGTGTGTTTTATAGTATGTATATCAAGTATTAAAATGTGCCAGTGAATAGATTTTCCCACCAGACCAGACAAAGTTGGGTGAAACTCCATTCTTAATAAATCCATACTCAGAAAACTATGTTTCATCAGTGTTACTACTTCATGGTAACTCGCCAATTGGAGTTATTAACAAGTTGGAAAATATTTTGCGTTATGAGGTATGTTCTCTGGAGTAGCCTAATAAGACTGGGATGATGCAGTTCTAAAAGCTTTAATGGCAGTCCCCCAACTGGGAGTGCTACTGGAGCCGCTTACCCAGTATCAGCCGTGGGATAATAATAATCATCTTTTATTGATTTTTACTTTGGCAGGGACCAAAGTGTTGAAAGGTGTGCCAGAAGTGACATAATTGCTTTTATGATGAGTTATGGGTGCTGACAGATCACTCCTGAGAAAATTATTAGTGATCCTGATTATTCCACACTGCAATTATGGAGCTGTGTAAAGTAGAACTAACTACCATAATGAAATTAACTTCTAAACATTAAATAAAATAGTCATAAGGAGGAATATTTCCGTTTTTAGGGGACAGAAGGTTTTTTCTGTAACATACTTTAGTATTTCCATTTTTAAAAAAATATAAACACTTCCAAGATGATGACAGGTGAATACTTTTCTTGAAGCAAATGGAATAAAAAAGTACTAGACTGCAGGTCAATGAAATTCACGTTTTGACCACAGATAAGATAAAGCACAGGAATGTTTATGTGAGGAATTCTCTAACAGGATCATACTGTTCTGTTCCTATGAAGCGCAGGAGGGTTTCCCATTTACCCATTGTCTAGTCCCATTAATTCTCTAATTCAAGAACAGGGAATACCCATTCACCTGGACAATGCAATAATACCCATAAATTTGGTAGTTCCTTCCTCTGTAATCTCCCTAAAAATAAAAATCTGTGGTTTGGGGCATGCTGCCTCTGCTAAATATTTTCATCTTCCTGCATGGTGTCAGCGAAAGAGCTCTTTTTTTATGCTTCTATACTGCAGGGAGCTACAAGTAGCTCTATATATATATGTAAAAAAATAACTGATATACAAAATTGCCATGAATTATTGAAATACGAAATTTATGAAACATAATACAGCATATCTAAATTA